CCAGTCATGTTTATCATTCGATAAAACCCTGTAATCATATCAAATGCTAAATTTTCAATGGGTAATTCATGATTGTTTCTGGTTCGTTTTAGTCGGAGCAAGGACGGCTTATTACTCAGAAGGATTATCCATAACGCAAACCAAAGTAACAGCAAAATACATGCAATCCAGCGCATATGCATAATATAGCAACCCATCATTAAAATTTCGGCTTTAGAATGACTATAGCTACCAATACTAGTAGCACTAAAATTACAAACAATAATCGTCCTTGGGGACACTCCAGCTCAAACCAGTCCAGAATTAGGTTCCAGGTGCAATTGTTCATTCCGGTTTTACCTCTAAAAGAAAAGAAGCTTGCTCGGTGGAATGATACAAGCACCGGCTCTCAACAGGTTAGAATGAGGGAAAGATCCACTGGGTGAGGATTCGATGAGTCTTCCCGGAACAATCTTTTGCTTCCCAGGCGAATTTGTTTTTCGGAAAGACAAGAACCATCGGCACCTTCCCCACGTAGGGGACATTTACCAATACTGGTTGACCTGGGTGGCAAGGGACAGGATACTTCCCAGGTGGGGTGGAGAGTTCTGGCATGATGGTATTAGTGGAGGATATAAAAGCTTTCACTTTTAGACTTCCACCTCCAGCCCACTGGTTATTAATAGTATAAACAGCGGTAGATAAATGGTTAGCCCAATCGGATTTATCTACTCGAGTGTACCTTTTTAATAATCTGTTCGCTCTACTATCCCGTTTGCTTGGGGGTAATAGGGGGTATGGAATGTCCAGCGAATTCCTTCCTCCCGAGCCCGATCCTGTACCACCCCGGCAGTAAAGTGAGAACTGTTGTCCCTTTGCATTTCCTCCGGCTGTGGTAATGTGCTGAACCAACCTCGTCAACACTGCACAGTGTTCATTCCTGTGGCCGTTTTTACTGCTTTTGCCATAGTGATTCCAGATATCACTTCTACTCCTACCAAAACATATCTTTTCCCTGCGGAGGGACGGAGTGGACCTATGTAATCTATTTGCCATGTTTGCCATGGAGTCTTCCTATCCCTAATGTGCAGGGGGGCGCCTTGGCCGGATGATTGGTGGTTAGTCTTAACCCACACTCAGGGCACGCAGTGACTGTCGCCTCTGCCATTCGTTTTGTAGCGGGCCATCCTCCAGAGATTCCCTCCTTGCCGAGATCGTTCATCCCCGAATGACCTCACTTAATATGTAACCATTCTAGCAACCTGTTCCATCCTCCTACCTTCCAACCTACTTCAGTTACATTAAGTCTGGCGAGTTCGTCAACCTGCCTGTTAAAGAATGCAGGCTTAGCGTGTGCAGAATTGTGTCCTTTCACCCAGCCAACGTATAGGGGCCTATGGTTGCTTGTCTCTCAAAGTTGTTTCCAGCTTTCTGCCTGCCAGGCTACTACTATATATAGGTGACGTCCTATTCGCTTGCCACCCGTTTGCCGCCCAGTGCCTAAGCCACTCGGTTGCTCTTTTGAATACGGCACATGAGTCGGTGTAAATGTGGGTAGCCTGAGATAAGGCAGCCAAGATTACCGCCTGTAATTCCCCTACTTGAGCACTACCCTCCCCCTCCTCCACGCCCGTACTTTGTTTTCTCGCCGTGCGGAGGCATCAGTGAACCAGACCCCAGTTAGATCTGAGTTTTCCTCAGTAGGGGTGGCTTCGTGGATAGGTGACGGCTTGCTTGGGGGGGCATGATATACCATCCCTGGGTCTACTGGTTTCTGCAATTTGGAAACCTTTGTTGGTCCTTCTTCTACAGGCATAAGCTCAATCACTCCTTCTAGGTAAGCATACAATTTTCATACTGTTGGCTTTTGTACTATTCCTCCTGGAGGGGCAGCTCCCTGTTTAATTGTTTCTATTACCTTAAATGGCCCCCGTAGGATAATATTTTGGGAGGTTCATATTTGTTCCGCTTGTTGCAAGGCTCTTACCACTGATAGGAGTCCTTTCTCCAAGTCGGTATATCATTTTTCGGTATCATTGAAGGACCGTGAATTAAAACTCAGTGGTCATTTAGGACCCATTGGTCCCTTTTGCCATAAATTGGAATAGGATCCATGTTCACTAAATCCCCATTCTACATGTATGGGATCGCCGGGGTGGACTGGACCTAATTGTTGGAATAACCGACGCTCCGCTACCAGAGAGTGTAAGGCTTGGTCATGTACTTCAGTCCATTCCCATTGCACTCCCTTTCTCAGGAGATTATACAGTGGTCGGGTGATAATGGAAAAAACAGGAATATGCTTTCTCCAGTATCCCAAAGTTCCTAGAATTCACTGTAACTCCTTTTGGGTATTAGGTGTTTTCCCATCCTCTGTTTCCTTCAGGGTATCGGGGGGAATGGATGCTGCACCACGAATCCACCATACTCCTAGAAATTTCACCTCCTGTGCCGGAGTTTGTATTTTGGAGGGAGGAATCTCTAGCCCCATTTCTTCCAGTTTGTTTATTATTTTAGTCATATCCTGCTCCACTTGGTCTTTGGTATTACTGGCTATCAGTATGTCATCAATGTACTGGTAGATAGCGATTCCCAGGGAAAAGCTTGTTTGTGCTAGTACTTTAGCGAGGGCGTTATGTGCTACGGTGTGGGAGTGTTTGTAGCCCCGAGGAAGTCTATTGAATGTATACTGAATACCCTTCCAAGTGAAAGCAAACCGAGCCTTGTCCTTTTCTTGCAGAGGGACCATAAAGAACATATCCTTTACATCTATAGCTGCCATCCAGCTATAATTTTGGCTCTGGATTTGGGTAACTATTTCTGCAATATTTGGGACCGCTGTTGTCGGTGGCTCTGTATTAGCATTTAATTTACGATAATCAATGCTCAATCGCCAGCTACCATTTGTCTTTTTGACCGGCCACGCCGGTGAATTCTATGGGGAATGAGTACGGGTTATAGTATCTCAACTTTCCAAATCTTTTATCACCTCATCTATCCCCAACGATGCGGTGGTCAGTAAAGGATATTGTTTTACGGTAGTTATCTTAGAGAGTGGCAAAGCCATAGCCGTTTCCAACAGTGATACGTGACTTTCCCTGTGGTCAGGTTGACTGGCAAAACTCCAGACTGCGCCATCCGGTAAATGCCACTCACATCCTTTTAATAAGTCAAACCCAATAATATTTACTTTGGCAGCCCCTACTAGGACTCTCGCGAGTCGTGGGCGACTGTCTCCCGGGAGTGTCAGTGTAATCAATGCGGTGGGGCACAATTTCTTAGTTCCCTCGATGCCGGTCACCCTAATCTGCGGCTTCCC